TACAAATAAAAAAAAGTACCTCTGGTTAGTTATTAACACTTCTTCTTTAGGAGACCCAAACCAAACCAAACAACAACGTTCACCTTGGACTCTGTCAAAAAATAAATTGTTTTTCCAAGAAAAAAAAAAAATCAATTCACGTTTGTCCTACCAAAAAAAAACCACCAATAGGATAAATAATTAATTTGTGCGCATCAATTAATTCACAAACTTCTTTTTAATTTTTTTTTTCAAGATGCCCAAAGATAAGAAGGGTGGTGGTGGTGGTTATTGCCCGCCACTTGTCATCACTCTAGTTATTTAATATATTTGGTGCAATGGATTAAAACTCTTGCCCTCTTTATTTAGACTTATGGATGTAGGCAAATTATTTTCAAGGATTATTTGATTAAAAAAAGTTTTTTACTACTTTCTTACCAGTGTTTTGCTATTAATTTCATTAAAAAAAGTATTATATTGATGAGAAAGGACCACCTATTCCAGTGGTAAGTTTGGTGTGGAACATCATGAGAATTAACATGCAAATTACAAATTAATTTTATTCTAAAAAAATTTTTTTCTGCATTATAGATCTATATTGATGATGGTGATGAGCTTGATGTGAGTACAACACAAATTAGCAGTATGCTGATTAAGTAACAAATAAAGTAACAAATAATCTTTTTTACTTTAAATTTTTAAGATGTTGGATAGAAACCAAACCAGAAGAAGATGTCAAAATGAAGTTGCTAGTTTCGCTGGGTAAGTGTTATTTTTATTAACATTAAGTTATTGACACGTGTTGAGTAAATTTCTCTCACATGATCTCCCATCTATACTTTAAAAAAATTTAAGCAAAATTGGATCAAGGTAAATATTATTAGAGTGGTTGTGATCATTATCATCATTATAGTTTAACTAATCATTATAACTGTTATTGCTTTTTAATTCATTTCAATTTAGCAATAAAATTGTAAGTCACTATAAATGTCCAAATTTCGATCTTTATCTTTAAAATTCAGAGTTTATATATAATAGTTATCCCCCCATGAAGTGGGGGATAAGAGCAAAATTCTCTGAATTTTGCTGCCAATTTATCAACCCGGATGTGGGAGATAAGAGAGTTATCTCCCAGTTACACAATATTGTATGACTGTAGATTTTGATAGTTATCATTCCGGTCTTATTCATCTCAGGGATGATAACTATTAAATCCCAATAGGCGATGAATAAACTTGAATGATAACTCAACAATCTACTTCATTACAGAATATGTGACCAGGTGATAAATATATATATTTGTGCAGAATTTTATAACTAAACTGGACAATATGTCAAACGAATTAAAAAATACAAATGAAACATCATTAAACCATATATTTAATCAGCATGAAGAATTAATCAATTCAATTGACAGTAATTTAAACCAAGTAATGGATCTTATCAGGGTAAGCATTAAACCAATGTTACTTTTTTATATTTTTCACTTACAAAAATTTAATTTTTATGTTCCCTCCCTCCTTTACAGAATAATAACAATGTTAATAATGAGAACAGCAATGATGATATCATAAGCTTTAAAAAATTTCGTTTAGTATCTTTCAAAATTTGATTCAAATATCTCATCTAGTATCAATGTTACAGAACTCGATGGATGAAAGGACTGCTGATACAAATAATAATAATATTAATGATATTAATGATGGCCGACATGATAGATGTGAGTATTGGTTTTTTAATAATGAGAAACTAAATGCAGATGATACATATATATGTGCACATATGTATCTGAAAAAGCAATTATTTATAATTAGTGATGTTAGCCGGCTAATAATCTGCATGCATAATTTCTAAATTTGGTAATAGATTTCTGCGTTACTTTCTTGT